ATGAATACATTATTTAATAATTAACAATCAACATAGTAGCTATGGCCATATCTCTATAGGACCATGAAAGCAAAACATCCCTCCCTCCATATTTTAGGCATATTTTGTACACAATGGCGAAATATCTATGTAGCTTTAAATCTTCAATTCCATTAGAGAATCAATTGTGATAGAATGGGGAAGAAATGATGGTAATGTTGGGAAATAAGGTCGGATAACATGGAATAATAATAATACACCAATGTGAAATTAATAAAAGACACGAATATTTGTTAACCCAGTTCGGATTAAATCCTACGTCTGGGGGGCGAACCAAGCCAGGAGAATGAGCTAGAATAAGAGGATAAACAGAATGTTACAACTCACACAAGCCCGTATGAATACACTCTCTCTACTCTTTCTTCACACTTATATGTATTTCTTTTTCACTTGGATTGGATACAAATGAGGTTACAAAATAAGGTATTTATAGCCAAACAAATCCTTCTTGCGAGAAAGTTGAGAGGAAGCTCCCTTCCTTTGACCAGGAAGTTGCAAGGAAGTAGCCTTCCTTTGACCAGGAACTTACGAGGAAGTTCCCTATCTTTTACCAGGAACTTACGAGGAAGTTCTCTTTCTTTGACCGGGAACTTACGAGGAAGTTCCCTTTCTTTGACTAATCTTCACACCTCAACAATCTCCCACTTGAAGATTGGTCAACCTGTTCATCTCTGCTCCTGGTTCTGCCAAGTCTGCCTGTTTTAATCATCAAGGCCGGTCGAAGCTACACACAGCTTCAACTTTTCCAAAGTTACCGCCATGGTCAACATGTCTGCAGGATTCCTATCTCCCCGAACCTTTTTCAGCTGCAGCATCTTCTTCTCTAGAAGTTGCCGGATGAAATGATACTTAACCTCGATGTGCTTCGTTCGCGAGTGAAACGCGGGGTTCTTTGCCAGATGGATTGCACTCTGGCTATCGCTGTATAGAGCCACATCCTTTTGAGGTCTCCCAAGTTCATTCAAGAAGTTTTGCAGCCAAACGAGCTCCTTGGCTGCCTCCGTCACTGCCACGTACTCAGCTTCCGTTGTGGACAATATGACTATCTTCTGCAGCTTTGAGATCCAGGATACGGCCGTCTCGCCGTAAGTGAATACGTACCCAGTAGTACTCCTCCTCTTGTCAAGATCACTTCCTGCAAAATCAGCATCGACAAACCCAGACAGGGTAATGGTACCCCTGCCAAAAACCAATGCCCGGTCCTTAGTACCCCTCAAGTACCTAAGGATCCACTTTACCGCCTCCCAGTGCATCACTCCAGGATTGCTCATGAACCGGCTGACTACTCCCACTGCATGTGCTATGTCTGGCCGGGTGCAAATCATAGCGTACATTAGGCTCCCTATAGCCAAAGCATAAGGCGTAATTCTCATCCTTTCCTTTTCAGAGTCATCATTGGGCGAATCTTTGTTGGACAACCTGAACTGGCTTCCCAGTGGCACTCCAACCGGCTTTGCAATATCCATTTTGAATCTGCACAACACCTTCTCAATATAATCAGATTGAGAAAGCCAAAGTTTACCACCATTTCTGGTCCCTCGTGATTTTCATGCCCAGTATCTGTCTCGCTTCTCCTAGATCCTTCATATCAAATCTCCTTCATAGCTGATCTTTGAGCCTCTCGATCTCCTTGACATCTGATCCTGCTATCAGCATGTCATCCACATATAGCAGTAAAATAATGAAAGAGTCACTGAACCTTTTCACATAGCAACAATGATCAGCATTACACCTGGAGTATCCAATCTCCAGCATGAAATTATCGAACTTTCGATACCACTGTCGAGGAGCCTGTTTCAGTCCGTACAAGCTCTTTTTTAGGCGGCAGACCTGCTGATCATTTCTTCTATACCCCTCTGGCTGCACCATGTAAATTTCTTCCTCGAGATCCCCATGCAGAAAGGCCGTCTTCACATCTAACTGTTGCAACTCCAAGTTTTCCGCCGCTACCATGCTTAACACTAGACGAATAGTGGTTAACTTAACAACAAGTGTAAAAACATCGGTAAAGTAAATACCATATCTTTGTTGGAATCCCTTTACTACAAGTCTGGCCTTGTACCGTTTTGTTCCATCGGATTCCTCCTTGACCCGATAGACCCATCTGTTTTGAAGCGCCTTCTTTCCTTGTGGGAGATCACACAAATCCCATGTGTGATTTTTCTTCAACGAGTTCATCTCGTCGTCCATCGCAAGCTCCCACTTGCTCTTGTGGGCACCTTTAACTGCCTCTGCATAACAGTCAGGTTCCCCAGAATCAGATAAAAGTAGGTAATAAAGAGAAGGGAAGTACCTATCCAGCGCCCTTCTCATCCTCGGTTCTCGGCCCAGTGCCAGAGGCGTGCTGTTCTCAGCAATCGATTCATTCGATTCTGGTTCTGCCTCTTCTTCTGTATGCTCGATCTCATCTATCTGAGCTCCCACTGAATCTGCTGGTCTCATGATTCCGGTATTTGAAATATCGAGACCAACATACTCCTGCATGGTCTTGTCGTCGTCAGGGTATTTCTTCTGGTCCTTGTACATTATGCCTTCATTGAACACCACATTACAACTGCGAATAATTTTCCGATTTTGATCTTCCCAAAATCTATACCCAAATTCGTCAGTCCCATATCCAATGAATGTACATTTGACGGACTTAGCATCCAGCTTTGTCCGGTCGTCGTTCAAAACGTAAGCCAAACAACCAAAGGTACGTAAGAAAGAGAGATCAACTTCCTTACCACTCCAGACCTCTTTTGGAATTTTGTTGTTCAGTGGGACAGAAGGCCCTCAGTTGATCAAGAAAGTGGCCGTGCTGACTGCTTCTGCCCAAAACATCTTGGGCAGTCCACTCTTCAATCGCATGCATCTCGCACGCTCATTCAGTGTCCTGTTCATCCTCTCCGCAATGCCATTTTGTTGAGGTGTCCCTGGGACCGTCTTCTGCATCCGGATCCCATGATCAGCGCAGTATTCCTTGATGGCTTCACTGTTGTACTCGCCATCGTTGTCGGATCTGAGACATTTCACTTCTAGACCTGTCTCTTTCTCCACGAGTGCTCTCCATCTCCGGAAAGTATCAAAGGCTTCAGATTTTCTTTTCAGAAAGTACACCCATACCTTTCTTGTGCAGTCATCGACGAACGTCATGTAGTACATCGATCCTCCAGGAGATGTCACCGGTGTTGGCCCCCATAAGTCAGTGTGCACGAGCTCCAGTTTTTCTGTCTTTGGAGCTCTCCCGGTGGTTATGAAGCTCACTCGCTTCTGCTTTCCAAGCACGCATTGCTCGCAGATACCCACGTCCACTGACTCCAACTCGGGCAAAAGTCCTCTCGACTTTAGTACCTTCATTCCTTTCTCGCTCATGTGGCCCAAGCGACTGTGCCACAAATGCGATTGTGAGACAGCTCCTGCCAGGAGAATGTTTGAGCTGGATCCACTCGTCGTGTAAAGCGTTCCTGACTTCAGCCCTCTTGCCAAAGTTATAGCTCCTCGGCTGACCTTCCACTTTCCGTCTCCAAACATTGTGTGGAAGCTGTCATTGTCCAGCTGTCCAACTGAGATGAGATTCCTCTTCAGTCCTGGAATGTGCCTCACATCCCGTAGGGTCCAGCATGACCCATTTGCTGACTTGATTTTCACATCTCCCTTCCCTATAATTTTTAGGGGTTTGTTGTCTGCAAGATATACCACGCCAAAATCACCCGCGGTGCATGGCTCCATGATGTCTCTGCTACTGCAAGAGTGAAACGAGGCCCCTGAGTCCACAATCCAGTCATCGAGCGAGCTTCTCACACTCAACAAGACTGCATCCGCCGTGTCCTCCGTCGCGGCATTGGCTGTCCTGCCTTTTTTGTCCTTCTTTGGTGCCCGGCATTCGCTTTTCGTATGCCCAGGCTTCTCGCAGTTCCAACACACCATCTCTTTCTTGCCTTTATTCCTTCCCCTGGATTTTGACCTCCCACGAATGTTCCCTCGTATTTTGGGTCTCCCTCTGGACTCTGTATGTAGGGCTGAGCCAGACGACCCACCCGCCTGATTTCTGCGGGTCTCCTCGTTCAACATCATGTCTCTTATGTTGTCGAACTTCATCTTCTCCTTGCCAGAAGAAGTGCTCACCGAAGTAACAACCACGTCCCAACTGTCCGGCAATGATGAGAGCAAGATTAGGGCTTTTACCTCATCATAAAACGAAATATCCACCGATGCCAACTGCGTTGTGAGTTGGTTAAAATCGTTGAGATGATCGGCCACTGAATTTCGCTCCTCCATTTGCAATTTGAACAGCTTTTTCATCAGCATCACCTTGTTTATTGCTGATGGTTTTTCATACATGTCGGCGAGGGTCTGCAAGACCTCCTTCGTGCTTTTTGCTCCCTTCACATGGTAGGCGACGTTCCGAGAGAGCGAAAGAATTATAGCGCTCATCGCCTTCCGATCGAGCACCTTCTATTCATCATCGCTCATCTTCTCGGGCTTTTCCCCAAGAGGTGCGTAGAGGTCCTTCCCGTACAGGTAAGCCTCCTTTTGCATTCGCCAGAATCTAAAGTCGGAACCATTGAACCGTTCGACTGGAATCTTTCCCTCCATCTTATCTCCAACCTCCTGGCGCTGATACCAGTTGTTGGGAAATAAGGTCGGATAAGATGGAATAATAATAACACACCAATGTGAAATCGATAAAAGACAAGAAAGTTTGTTAACCCAGTTCGGATTAAATCCTACGTCTGGGGGCGAACCAAGCCAGGAGAATAAACTAGAAGAAGAGGATAAACCGAATGTTACAACTCACACAAGTCCGTATGAATACACTCTCTCTATTCTTTTTCTCTCTCTATCTCTCTTGTTATGTTTTCTTTTGTTGTGATTTTTACATCATGATTCTAGCTCTATTTATAGAGAAAGAATGCATCAAAATTTCTACAAATGTGTGCTAACATTTTTCTCCCACGGTGTGCTACTCCATTTTTTTATTTTTCTTTGGTAGATAGAAAGAAAATGGGCTGTTGCCCATTGACTTAACATGCATTCTATATGAACTGGTAAGGTGCACGTGCGATGCACGTGGTGACATAATTATTTTTTTTCCACATGAATTCTTTACTAAGTATAATTAATTTATTACACATGAAAAATATGAACATGTAGCATAGTAAAAGTTTAAACTTGTTTATACACTATACTTGCTTTATTTCTTTATGAGCATGTGTGGTCTAGTTTCAGTAAGCTTTGGTCGTGGAAGTGAAGTTCTCTTGTATAGCAAATATGTATGGGCTATGAGAATATTAATTACTAAGAGAAATAGAAACATATGTTCACATTTGTTTGTCATCGAACTTGCTTTAGTGATCTTCACGGCCTGATAAAACTTTTCAAAAATTTTCAGACGATAATTTTTCTACCAAATTTTTCATCATTTTCCATTATACTCTTTCATAAAAAATCAAAATTTTAGATTATCCTTCGTTTTTCATTTTGTGCCTCATCCCATATTATTAACTATGCATACGTAAAGACTAAACACTCTTAATTCATTTATATCAATTGGTACTTTTAAACGTATTTGCGTTGTCCTTCCATTTGGTATTATTGCAGCACCAACTGTAGATGATGCAATTGTAAGTATTATACTTAAATTTGTTTAGTATGAAACAATAATGCGTAGTATATAAATTATTTGCAAATTCCACTTGGTCGGTCAGGTTGATCCATATATTTAGAAGGTCGTATAAACTAATATTTTTTTCTCCATTTAGAAGGTCGTATAAACTAATATTTTTTTCTCCATACATTGTATGTGTATTTAACTTTTGAAAGTGTTGGTATATATTTAGAAGGTCGTATAAACACAAAATGATGTATATATATATATACTAAAAAAATATAATGAGATGGAATAAGTGAATTACTCTATCTCCAAAGTTTTTACATTTCATAAATTTATATTAGCTAAAAATATATAAATAAATAATTCACTTATTTATTATATAAGATGAGCGTTACAATATGAAAAAACATTTATTAAAAATACAATATATTTTCTAAATAAAAATATTATTAATATTATCATTATCATAAATAAAAAACTAATACTAATATAAATATTGAGATTAGTTTTTACAAAATAGTGATAAATGATAAGATATGATGACTCCATTCAAATCTTATTCCTTTTGCAGACCAAACATATCAGTGAAACAACATATTTCATAATTTCTCATAATCATTCAATTATTCAACTCATTCTATTCCTATCAAATTTTATTTAATCATACCAATCATACCATAATATGATTCTAATCTTCTGAATTATTTGACATTTGAAAGGTGATGGTTTCATTTACAAATTTGATAACATTCTGATGAGACTGCAGTAATCCAATTTTTTCAAGTTACTTATTTGAAATACAAATAAACACATTATCTATGTAAGAAATCTCTTTAAGATTTGACTTGATTTGAAAATAATTTTTCATAA